AGGCCCTAGTCGCGGGAGCGCCACTTGGATCGAAGTGGGAGGACGAAACCGCCGAAGTGGGAGAGATTGTTCCATTGCACCTAGTCAACCTAAAAGATACCCTGAAGATCCCTGAAGTAATGATGCCAGAAAACATGGTCCGCTCCGGCCATCCCCTTCCACATCCGTGGGGTACCTGAGGGTAAACAGTATGGGAAAAGAACAGGGCATGTCCGAAAGAAACCGTTTGTTTGTCGAAAAATATGATGAAATAGGTGTTTTTAGTGTAACAATTTTGGTTTTGGCGTACCTGTAGCATACTTATCGCTGTTTGTTTGAGATCTCATGGGATCATCCTGCCTGAGATCTCCAATCTGGAGTTGTGGGCAAAAGAATGGGCGCCATGGGAGTGAGAGCGTACTTGGGGGATGTCGCAATCACCAAAGGGCGTTTGGATGATATTTTTGGATCACTAAATTGCCCCTGTGTGCATGTTGCAACTTTCTCGTTTTGCATAGATTGCTTTGGAGATGCGGACCACCATCGAAACCATTTCAAAGTGGGCGAGCCATATCTTATGTAGATCTAAATAGGTTTTAGATGTTTTAGTCATGAGTAGAGTGGCCAAGACTTAAAGACATTGAAAAGCTGTCCTGCCTTTGTCCTCAAAGAACTTCGAAGAGAAGGCGCTAGAAATCAACTGGACTGAAGCCTGAAGCCAATTTCACTGAGAGCAATGCTGTGTTTGAGATGCAGCAAACTAGCCCAACTGCCTGTGTTGTGGAAAGCCTTGATTCCATCTTCCCTGAAAGGTTTGGAGAAGCTGCGGTGACCATTCAAAAAATGAATAGGGAACTGCTTGGGGCTTGGGAAAATGGAGCCAAGCTCGATGTGGAATCGCTGAGATTTCCCTTTTTTCCTGTGCACATTTCAACTTTCATGCAGTGGTGGCCGAAAAGCAATTGCGGAAGTTACAGTCCAAATGACGGAAATCATGGAAAAAATTGAAAAAAAGTATGGAAATTGCCGATGGTTCTGAATGTAAAATGTTTGGCTGTTTCAGGGGCTTCGGTAAATACAGGCTTCCTTTCATGTGGCCACGCGTTTAGGCTTCAGTTTGGGGTGGAAAAAGAACCTACCAGCTCCATTTTTTCGTCCTTTGGAAGACATGCCCTACCCGGCGCAACATGCCCCATGATGAAGAAGAAGCCCTGCTTCAGCCGTTGCAGGGGCCAAGCAAGTACTGCGGTAGTTGTTTCGATTCCTTTTGGGAGCCGAACTGCGTTGCGGGTTGTTTATGCTTTCGGCCCAACCCCCATATTTTTCCCACACCATTTTTGAGACGAGGAAAATTATCAATCTGTCTAAAGTTTAAAGTTATACAAATGGAACTGCGCAGCCCAAAAAATGCTACTGGGAGAATCAGCAGCCGTGTCAGCCGTGTGTCTTTCCCCACCTGTCAGGTGAGGGTTGTGAGATGTTGCTATATTTTATGTCAGCTGCCGTCCTCCTCGTCCTCCGCCCCCTGCTCCTCCGCCTCCTCCTCCTCCTCGCAGTGTTCCCCGCCGGACCTCAACCGCCAGCTCCAGATGGCAGTGTTCCCCGCTGGACCTCAACCGCCAGCTCCGGATGGCAACGTTCCCCGCCGGACCTCAACCGCGAGTCAAAAGATATGCCAGATAGAACGCCAGAAAGAATTATGTTAAAAAATTGCAGAAAGAATGTCAGAAGATATAACAGAAAGAATGCCAAAAGATATGCCGGAATGAATGTCAGAAGATATGCCGGAAAGAATGCCAAAATAATGTCAGAGATTGAAATGTCACGGTGGGGATCACTCGAAATAGATAGAGTAATTTGCTCATTTTTTGGCAGCCCCGAGGTTGGCCGACTGGGTTCGTGACGCGCACGCCGGCGCCGACGCGGCTACGGGCGCTGCACGCAGCGCGTGCAATTTGGGCCGCACTGTCTCGAGGAGCCGGGATGAGGCCACCACCTGTAGGGCACAAAGGGTTGGGGAGTTGAATCGATTTGGGCTCATGGGTCGGTTCTGTAGATTCGTTGATGAGCCCAACGCATGTCCGTAGAAGGTTGACGATGTGAAAGACTATCCAGCTAGGAGGGTTTGATTAGTTGATCTACAATCTACAATTAGGTTTCAGTGATTCAGTGTGTTTGAATCCTTTTTGACACCACTTACAATTGAGAAGTCACATCAGTCATAGTGGTCAGTCAGAAAGATCATCAGAGAAAGCCATTGAACACCATGGGCAGTCGGGTGGTGTGTTTTCTTCTGGCACCGCAATCGGTGCACAAAACTCTGCAGACCTGCGATCCCAAGATCAGCAGATCGGCAGACAACCAGCCCATAGCCGACCCATGAGACCATTTTTTCAGGGTGTGGGCGTCGACATATCCAGCATTGCAGCGATAGGATAGGCACATGTCCACTAAGAACTCACTTGGAGATCTTAAGTTAGGGTTCTAGAGTTGGAAAACCGTGTCTGGCAATTGATTATGCGAACCAGATTGAAGAATCGAAACATTTTCCATCAAAAAGACACTCTTCCCGTACTTATGTATGTTACACCCTGGAGGTCCAAGACTAAAGACAGTCGTTGGGAGACTTTCCTTCACTTGGGTGGTGCGTCTTGGGACTTCTGAGAACTTCTGGGCATCTGGTTTTTAGGCCTATTCAGGCCTTGCCCTGCCTAGATCGATCGCCCTCACCGGACAGTTGAGCTGGGCACCATCGCTGGGCGATAGCACCTTTGACTTCCCACAGGCGATCGTCGGTTTGGGTGGGGAGGGGAGGTTGGCTGGGAGGACAGGACAGGAGCACAGGAGCACAGTACATATATGTGCACATGGCGGTGTTCGACTTCGTCATGGATTACTCGTTTTGGGCCATTTGTGATAAAGGCCGCCTGCCGGGCGTTTTCACCAAGTGTTGTGTTGTTCGCAATCTAGGCCCTGGAGGCGGTCAGCATTCTGTCAGGCCAGCCTGCAATCGCACTCACCAATATTTGAAAGCCAGAAACACATGTCCTTCAGGCGGAGGTAAAGGCCTCAATTTGAGCTTGCGTGTTGGCTCAAACCTCTTCCTAACAGTTAACACCCAGCAGGTGTGAGATTGAACTCCTCAAATCATCTCGCAGATTCAGAGACTCACAGTTCCCAACTGTTCCACTTTGCCTTTTCAGAGACATCAGCACAGCATAGCACAGCTGAACACTCTTCCCCGTGTGGGGCGGGGGGAGCCTTGAAACCTCCTGACCGTTGGGTGGCCCGGCACCGTAGCGGTCGCGTCGTCGCGCGGCGAAGCGGGGCTGCAGAACACCAATGTTCCAGAGAAGAAGGGCAAAGAATGTGCAAGATCCTGTTTTGTCATGTTTTGTCCTTCGAGTTGGTGATGAAACGCATGCAAGACACGGAAATTGATGGAAAAGTCTCATCACGCGCGACCCTTGCTTTTGTGATGCATGTGCTGCTGTGGCTGCTGTTCATTTTTGGCAAATTGGCTGATCCTTTCCTGCTTTTGGCTCTGACAAAAAGGATTGCTCACCATGCTACACTTCAGATTTTCCACATAATCTGAACACAACAGTTCCCAAACAACTCCACTCATCCTCTTCGTACAAGCTGGAGGACTCCTACATGTGAGCTTACCTTTTTTCTCACAGCTGCCATGCTATGAGCGGCTACCCCCAGGCCCTGCGCAGTACTATCAGTGGTGCCATTCTGAGTCCACAGTACGGGCCCGGCAACGCAGCCAGTCGGGCGCATCGGAAGGACAAAGCTCAAAGGAGTTTGTCCTTGAGCTCCTTAAGGCCTACGAGCGAGATGTCTGCGGCACGGCTATTAGACATCAAGATGCTGCGCAGCAATTCAAGACCGCACACGCGCAGCTTCGGCTGGAACCTTCAAAAGGTTTTCTTGATGGTTGTCCTTCGGGATGTTGGTTTCCTTGTTGTTTGCATTCGGGAGAGGGGATCTCAGCTGATTGCTTGATGTTCCCAACCTGATTGGGTTCTCACCTGTCAGGTATCCTGCGACCACGGCAGATGACCGTCGGACATGATGCGCCAGCTCCCTCTCAGGATGCAGTGCCAAGTCTCTCTCCAAGGACAGAGCTCCACTGTCGGCCGTTTCCGGCGAAGTCGCCTACACTCCGGGAGTGGCCGGGAACCGCTGTCGGAGTGGCTCCGGGTAACTGGATTGGTGGCAACCGGTTCAGGAATCAACAGTTACAACCCACCAGCCATCTTGGGTTATTTTTGGGGGGTCAAGGTGAGATGGATCATGATGGATCATCGATGGATCTGTGGAATGAGAGTTCACTCGAAACTTCCACACCCCGCGACTCCGGCAGGTTGGAACGTTGGGTTGGCAAAAAGATCCACAGTGGAAGACCTTCCTCCCTCCCATCGATCGGCGTTTCACTCCTTGGAACTCACATGGAAGTGGCAAGGCTGATTGGAAGACCATCTTCCGAATGCAAAACCGGAGGTGTTCCACTTCCATGTGAGTTCGGAGTAGCCTCAAACCCCTCACCTCACCTCGTATGGAATTGGCTCCAAATGCGACTGGAAATGGGCCCATCTCCTCCGGTCACTTCCGGTGGCCCCACCCCTCGCTGTCAGGATGCCTGCGCCCGCGGTGCCGAAGCCGCTGCGCTTGGTCGCCGCGGCGAAGTGCCGCGCCGCCAGCCGGGACGCGGCGGAGTTGCCGCGGAGCCGGCCGCGGCCACGAGCCGGCGGAGCCGGCGGAGGCGGAGGAAGGGAGGCCAAAGGACTAGAACGCTTCACTGAAGCGCAGAAAGAGACCTTTGAGTCTTGAAGTCACTTCAGTATGTTTTGGGCAATCAAATTCTGCTGTTTTTGCCACATGTGTTTGTGTTGTTTTTGCTCGCTCCCCAATGTGTGGGTTGATTCCACAGCACAGCCAGCCAGCCAAATTCAGTAGATCATCAGGATCGAGCTCTGCACGAGATCCATCAGGGTCGCAAGTCCTCCTGTTGGATGTGGTTCGTGATCCCAACTCCTCCGCATATTGTGAATGGTGTGGAGAGGGGAAGCTCTATGAACCGAAAGTGCCTGGGACCAGCAAACCGCAGGCGGTACCTGTGATAAAAAAATAACTTGTTGTTTGACAGAAGCACAGCAAAGGAGTGAAAGTCCATAGAGACTGAATATGCTCATTACATTGTTACACCATAATGTTACAATTGTTACATATATAACAGTATATTACAATATATATATATATAGTTACATTTATGTATGTATATCATATATCATATAACTATAACTAACTATGTGTATATAATATGTAATATTTATATGTATATCTATATTTAACCAGGCTAGCGCCTGGCAGCCGCCGACCCCCAGGGAAGTGGATGGCCTAGGTTTAATGGGTTAAGAGTTTTTTCGAAAAATCGAGCACGGCAAATGGGTTAGCATTTTTCTTTGAAAATCTGGGAACCCAAAAGCCTCCACCGGCACACTTGCAGAATGCGAGCACGGCAAATGGGTTAGCATGTTTCTTGGAAAATCTGGGAACCCAAAAGCCTCCACCGGCACACTTGCAGAATGCGAGCACAGCACTAGAAAAGAGCAGAAAAAGCTTGCACGTGCGGAGCGCATAGAGGAGAAACTCCTAAAAAAAAACCTCGAAAACACCTTAGAAAAAAGAGTGGAAAATCTCAGGAAACCACAGAACTTCCTAGAAAAACCATAGAAAATCATGGAAAAACCCTCGAAAAAGGCACGAGTAAATCTTACAAAAACCTTTGAAAATCCTAGCAATCCAGCGGAAAACGTTACAAAATCTAGGAAAAACCAAGGGCACTGGCAGGGACCAGGCCGGGATTCGAGCCCGGGACCATTTAGGGACCGTGCTTATTTTATCTGATTTTCCCCCGCGGGTGGAGAGGGTGCCCCAAGATGTAAATCAATTGGGATGGAGAAATCTTGGTCAATTTTTGGCTACTTTTCGTCACTGCAACAAAGCTCCGGAGGGGTAGGGGAGGTATAGCCTTAATCATAGCCTTTAGCCTTAATCAACAGTCACGCCTGACCCCACGAGTGGGGTCGGCGGATTATATAACATTGTGTAAATATGAAGTGTTTCGTTCAAAACGTTCAGCCTGATTCACTGCTTCAATTCAAGTTGCGCACTCAGCCGCCCTACAGAGTTCTGAAACACGAGGCCCACCCCCCGCTGAATACCAACAGATGCTCAAATCTGCCGAGAACAATGCTCACCCAAACAAAAGGCCCCATTTCTGCCGAGAATAAATGCCCCGAAACCGTTCGCTCCGTTCGAGCGCGGGGCGGAGGTTCGCCTTGCGGGACGAGGAGGCGAAGGCCTTCTTGAGTTTTGAGGCGGACGGCGTGAACCTGCGAGACACTTGGATGACGGGTGTGGTAGGACGACGCCGTGGTTTTTCAGGGACACGCCGCCACAGCCGGCCATCCGCCTTGGGACGGAATTTTCGGACGCTACGCAGAACTGGGGCACCTGGATAGGTGGAAAAACAGCCAGATCTATGCTAGATCTTCCAAGATCGTGCCAAGGGATGCTGCCAAACTGGGCTGGGTCTTATTGGATGAGGCCGAAGAATCTGCAGGAAGATCCAGGTATGCTGCCCCCTGGCGTGGTTCCCCCCCGTTTACAAAGAGGATCCTGTGATGCCCGTCCCATGGAGTGTTTGGTGTTTTCCGTTGGGCCTCCGTTGTTGGCCACCGTTTCACGTGCCGGTCGAGCCTGCCGGCGCCGACCCAACCCGCCGACCCAACCCCCCAGTGTTGGGGTGTCGACTCGGTGGACTCCACCGACCTGGAGGGAGTGACGGGAGGATCCTCCGACGAACCCGAGACGACCAAACGAACACAATTGATGGGGTTTTCTTTATATATGATCGAACACTCTTCGTCTGCAAGACATCTGCAAAGATGTCGACGATGTCAAAAGAAGGACCAACACCCCGTCGGACAATGACCATCTAAAATATAAAAACATCCAAAAGAAAGACACCTGCAAAATCCTGCAAACCTGCTTTGATTTCGAACCTGGTCTTATTTTGATCCAACCATCCTGCCAACCCACCTTCCATCGCTGCGGCATGCGTCCTGTTGTTTTCCCCTAAGGAGAATTATTTGAAGATCATGACCGCTGTGCGGGACCAGCTGAAGGCCGGTCGCGCTGTGGCGTCGCTGATGGGCACCTTCGACGCTCCGAAGCTCACCAGCTCAGTCGCGTTGTTCGAACGGATGACCTGCGACGGCTCGGACGACGAGTTGCACCCGGGACGGGACCGTTAACAACGCTTTGGAGTGGTGGTTTTGGTTTGGATGTTTGTTTCGATTGTTGTGTTACCTTTTTCTTTGTGTTTGGTTTGGATTCTGTTGTTTTTGTCTAGTGACTAGGTTTTTCTTGCTTTGGGGGAGCTGTTTGGAAGAGTCCAAACTAGAAGATCTTGCAAACTAGGGAACTGCACCATCGTTGCTTGGTCCTTTTTCTATAGTTACATTGATTCGTGGTGGTCTATAATTCTTTGCAGGAGGATGTCCAAAAAATGCAGGATGATGTAGGTTTCTTATCAGATCTCCTCATTTTGCCGGAGAAGTCCCAACGGTCCCAACGCGTGAAACGCCCCAACCGCCCCGCCGCTTCGGCGCGTGAAACGGCGCTGCGGCGTGCGTGAAAAAGCATTCTCCGTCCCGAATTGGGCTCAGGTACCAAGTGTTGCGAGAGATCAAGCGCTTCCTCCCATAGAGGATGGACATGAAAAAAAGTTTTTGGGATGTCTTCCGCATGTACACGGAGAGTTTCCTGGTGGCTTGTGATCTTATTTTTGGCTGGATAGTCTCAGCACTCGCAGGAAATAGCCTCATGATGTCTCATGATACTCTCCGGATGTGGAAGAAATTAATGGTGGATGGTCTCCTGGTGGCTTTCGTGAGTCGCCAATCGGTCCGCCTTGGCCTTGGCGCACCTGAAAATGCCTCGCTCATACGACGCCTCAGAGGCCCTTGGGACGATGGCCCGTCATATCTCGTTGTCTCGCTACCGTCATGACGTAGCGACAGGTAGACAACATTTTTACCTTGAGATGAGGTAGCAACGTTTTTACAACATTTTTCATTGTAGAGAGAGATGAGGCCCTTGATATCGTTGTCCCGCTACATCTTGATGAATTTGCATTTGTGTACATCTCCTATCGTAGCCTGCTTGGCCTGAGCGGACACCGGGAGACCACGACCGAATCAAGTTCACCACCGCGACGTTGGTCACGGTCGGAGGAACGTCAGGCCAGGGACATCCACGGTCGGGTGCATCGTACGTCGTGTGGAATATTGCTTCACCCTCTCCCACACGTGACTAATGGGAGTGCCATATATGCCTACATTAGGGTGGTTGACTGGGGGTCAATGTAGGTGAATATGGCAGTCCCATAGAGCGTTTGGGTATTGCTACTTAAGTCTAGGTCTGAAAGACGTGTCCCTGTCAACGAGATTCTGCTTGATCGAATTCGGGCATGTAGTAACTAGTAAGTGTGCGTTTGATATTGAAAAAGCTAACATATGATTATAAATACAATATACTACTATTCATGGTTTGACAAATGATTTGAATTCCCAGGTCCAAAAAAGAGGACTTTGACCAACCAGCCTCCTCTAGATTATCCGTTCAGTTCATGTATTTTGTGTGTGTCCGTATGTGTGCTATTGGTAGGAAGCACATTGCTTTTCTCCAGAAAAGATTAGAGAACTCCCAAGTGCTAGTGGGCACTATAAATATAAAGATTGTCCTAGTGCTAGTGGGAATATATACCGTACCTCATACTTAAATAGTCGTTGTTGATTCGTGCTCAACTCATTCTATTTACACATGTTCTTGAAGATTTCTGGGAAGCAAATAATGGGTGCATCACAATTGATAAATAAGGGGAGGTTCACCACATGCAAGAGAATTGATGGGCCCCTGCCCTTACCCAGTATATATATATATACATAGTGTGACATAGTAGATTCTACCAGCATTACTCATCAGTTTTGCAACATTCCTCTTGCCTCTTGCTAGTCTGTCCCGCAGTTAGCTTCGTGTTTTTCGTTTTCAGCTTGTGCCTTGCTGATGAAGCTCCGCGTTTTCGTTCATATCCAACGAGGGTTTTGCGTCTTTAGCCAAGCCCTAAGGCTCGAAGGCTCCAACGGTGGCGACAAGCAAGACATACAAACAACGGGTGGTGGTGTAGAGCTAGTAACTTGTGCCTACTTAGGGCCTAATTATGGCAAAAACAAAACACACATCACATGTTCACCACATGTTCATTCTGTCTCTAGAATCTAACTGTGTAATCTCCATGGAGTTTGGGGGGTGCTCAATGTGTTGCCGTAGCCCCTGCTCCGCACGTTACTCCACGTTACTCGTCTCTTCTCCGGAGCTCCAAGAGCCGGAGGCCGCGAAATCCGCAGATTGAACCGGCGAAATCCCGAAAAAGAGAAGCCGATTTCTTTCGTTTGGTTCGTTGGTTTCTCCAACTTCCTTCAGCAAGAGTTGCTCGCGAACGGTGTTTGAAGAGGTTTCAAATCATTGAAGGACTGGGCATCCTGGTGCCACATGCTCTTGGAATGTTCATTCTGGTCATCAGATCACCCTTTGATACCTCATCCCACGTGACGTGAGCCGGGGGACTCGATGGCCGCGTGTCGGGACACGCCCGGTTCCGGTGGGTGGATTAGTTCCGTTCACGGGTGAAAACGATCGAAGAAAGCCGCCACTTGCGATCGTTTCTCACGGCCCAACTGGCAGTGAATAAATGCTTATAATGCGTCCTTGCTCCTAGTAGCGAGGCCCTTTGCTGAGACCGAAAGGGCTGAAGATATTTTCGGATGACATGTTTGGGCGTTCGAGGGACCGTCTCAGAGAGAGGGAAGAACAGATGAATGGGTTGGATCATGTGAAGTTTGAACTTGAAGACAGATGAAAACCAGACTTTGATATGAGCACAACTTGTCTTCCAGGTTCCTGCCTTATAGATATATCTATATATATATATATCTATATATGGAACTGATGTTCTCAGAACTGTCTATCAGGTAACGGGGCCCGCCGCTACAAACGTGTTTGGTCAGGCGGCAGCTTGACGAAGCCCACCCGTGTTTGGTGTCACCGCACCTTTACGAAAGCAGAACTCATAATTAATGCTGACTGTTGATTAACAACGGATGGCACAGTTTAAAATATACCCCGGAGCGGGGAGAGGTTACAAATCAACAGTCAATATGAATGTTCTTTTGGGGGGGTGCGCATTTTAACGCAGAGGCCCACAACAATGGGCGTTTGTCTAATTCCCTTCTTCCAAGGGGTCAAATTGGATCTCCCCTACTTTAATACAGACCCATCATATGGGCACTTGCTGAGGCCAGTCAGCTCGCGCGAACTCGCAGGCAGGAGAAAAGTCAGACCAGTGAGTCTAGTGGACGATGGGGAGAATGGGCTGTCTTCCTTTCGGGGCCATGTTAGTGAGTCAGGGCTTGCGCAGAAGCTGCCGGAAGCGAAAAAAAAGCCAGCATGTGTTTGATGGGTCCATGTCAAGTGGGTGAGTAAATATCGTGTGCTCCCTCCAAAGAAGGGGTTCCAATCCACTGGATGCATGTACCTATTCGTTTGCTGTCATTTGTGGGGTTTCTCCTATTGCAATGTTGATGACACCGTGTGAGGGCCCAGCGCCCCTAGCCATCCAGGGTCCAGCCCAAGGTCTTGGGGGGTTCAGACGCAAAGCGGTGTTTCTTCGGCGTGACGAACCGATGGGCCTTGAGTTTGGAGAATGAACATCTCTCCAGCCTCTTCAGTTCCTGAACCTTTATGGAGTCCCGAACCTTGGTGACCCAACCCATCGCTTTTGAAGAACCAGGCTGGAAAGGCCTCAACTTAGCCAGAAGAATAGCATAGCTATCCAGCCCTCTCTGCTTTTGGACCACGATGCTTCAGGAAGGACGCTTCCGAGTCGAGTCGTGGGATGGCGCCTCTTGGGCTCCAGCCAAAGAACGTGATGGGACAGAAATCTGGCGCAGGATCAGAATGGCAGAGCTTTTGCGCAAGGCATCAAGAGAGAGCTAGAAAGCATGAGACTGCTGCTGCAGACTCTGGTTCCTGCCCTGATGTTGTTTGGCTCACATGGCTCACATGACAGCGAAGTCAGAAGGACATTATCATTAGTGCTAGGGTGAGCTACCCCCAAAGCATTTGTACCAGCCCTTACCACGCTTAGCGCATGGGGGCGCGCATGGCGGATACGCATGGCGCAGGCTCTCAGTGGTTCTTGCATTAATATGCAAGTTGGGCTAAGATTTTCAGAGGTTACCAGTGAGTTACAAGAGTGATTCAATCCGGGTTCTTCAAAGTGATTGGTTGAGATCCAGGTTTAGAGAAAGCGGATGTCGTTCAGCGCGATGTGCAGGCTGAGCAACCAGTCGACGGGACTAAAGACGCACTTCCTCCTGAGCAACCTGTGGACCAGAGGAAAGATACCCCTCAGGCCGAGCCACCAGC